TTTGTTGATGAAGATGAATAAGGAAGTAAGAAGGTATGCCAACTGCTGTTTTTTTTTTGTTCTGGGTGTAGGGAGGTATAATTATGAAGTCACATTACACTAGAAGGCTTGTGACCACCGTAACAAAACAATTTGCTGTACTGTTCTGTGCCATCTTGATCTACAATCTGGGTTATTTTTTAAATGGCATCTATTGTTCTATGTAGAACAAGATTAAATCCTCTTAAATTCTTAAATAATAAATTAGATTTAGATAGACCTTTTTTATTTAAAAACAAATGCTGTTTGAAAACACAAATACGTTTTGAAGTTGCTGGAAGGTTTTATGTTTCAGGATTAGATGTAACATCCAAAATCTGAGTATTGATCATACTGTATATGTACATACAAGTTTGCAGAGAAGTTTTCTTCCAACTGCAGGCTTAAGTCAGATGAAAAAATAATGGTTAGTAATGTGACAGGTACTAAGTTCATGGCAAGCCGAGTTTATTTCAGCTTCCAAAGAAAAATTGCAATGAAAAATAAAAAAAATGAATGGAGCTGTATATGTTTTCTGAAATATTACCATAATAATTTTCTGTGATGCCTGGTCTTAAATGAATGCCAGTGTCATACATTTGCATAACTGATAGATCTAAATAAATACAGTTTCAGCTTCATTCAGTAAGGTTTCAAAACAATCAAATAACCTAAATATGCTGTGATGAAAATCCACACTGTCTGCTTTTAGAGGTTAGATATTTGGCACTTTAGGGGTTAAGGGAAATTCCAGTACTTGTGGGTTGCTTTGCATCAGAAAGAGGGGCCTCAATGTCTTCTGTAAATTGTTTTAGTTTTAGCCTGTGTAAAGCTTCACAGTGCCTTCTAAAAGATTTAACAGCCTGAAAAATAATTCACAAAAGGATGAGGTGGCTTTTCAGACCTTAAAAAAGAAGTTTATGTAAAATTCCCATTAACTGGCCTCTCCAAATTTCCATTTCATCAGACATTTTGAGAACGTGGAATGTACAGAGAGAGAAGCGATTCCCTAATTTCTACCATATGTTTTTTAGCAAATAACTTTAGTATTTCAAGTTCATACAGCAGTAATGTTTTAACTAGTTATGATTTCATGAAGCCACTTGAGCTTTCTGAGACTTTCTTTGCCCAACAATTTCAGTTCCTGAACCATTTTTAAGACAGTCCAGGATCAGCCCAGTGTACAGAGAAGAAATCTGCCATATTTAATTGTGTGTATGATTTTCATTGAGAGACAGAAACCATAACAATGTTGCACGTCTCCAGGCAGCTATGTAGTGGTTATTGAGATTCTAAATTATTCTGTTTGATAAATACCTCAACAGTAAATAAGAGTTATTGTGAAAGCCCCCTCAGCTTTTTTGTTTGTCCTTTAGGTGGCCATCAAAATATTAATTTCCCTCTACCTTGACCAGAAGGTTCTTTTGGGGGAAATTTTGTATTTTACATTTTTAGAGGGAACCACGAATGTAGAATTGATCCTTCCCCAATATGCTAATCGGGCTTTCTCTCCTATAAATAGATCATAAAACCACAGTTTGACGTTACTGGATTCAAACGTCAGAGAGGCAGTCTCTGAAAGAGAGGTTAAAAAGTACTTTGAAATTGCTCATTATCTAACCACAGTTAGACTGTCCCTCCAGGGCACCGTTAAAGCACACTGGCATGGTAAGCCTGGGCAGTCTGCAAAGCCTGCCTAATCACTCTTGCACCATGTGGAGAAATGTTTCTGTCACAGTGCTTCAGGTCTTCAACATCTTCCATACGTGTAATATCTTGCATGAAATTGGGAATTCATGAATGAACACAAACCAACAGCATAGAAAAAAAAATAGAGAATTATAAGACCCTACAAAATACTTTTTGTGCTGATTAAGTAACTAGTACTTTAAAATCCAAAATGTTTTAACAAATGTAAAATCCTGTTTGATAACCAGGAGGTTTTAAAAGTTCAGGGTTGCTGGAAATTGTTCTCAATCAGTAAACTCCATTCAAATAGGAAATTGAAGTTGATACTGTATACAATACTACTAATTGTAAAAATGATAGACCCACCATAAACCCTGTAAGAGCCGATCCTCTGTATGAGTACATTATGCATATGGAGTAGAGGTTGGGGCTCTGGCTGTCAAACTTGAACGTTGTCAGTTCAAATCCCCCACAAGACACTGCTTTTATTCTTGAGTAAGGTACTGTACCCAGCTATAAAGATGGGTGCATCATAATACTGTGTAATACTGGTCGTGGGTTGAAAGCTTCTGTTTCTGGGACCCCTCCAGTTTTTTAGTCTTAGTTTTTTTTGGGGGGGAAAATCCTCCATCTTCTCTTCACCTCACTGGTACACCCTCCAAGTTATAAGCCACAGGGGGGAAAAAAAGGAAAAGGAACCACAAGATATCCCTAGATACCAGATTGAAAACTTCCGTTCTAAAATATTATAGCATTTTCTTATGACTGATTTTTACAACAAATAAATAATGCCTTAACAATAACTTTACCAGAGTTCCCTTCTTATTTAAAAGTGCTTCATTGTATCCGATCCGTCATACCCATGTAATAGCCCAACCACATTAAATGTGGGAGGAAATATCATAGGCCTCCAAACTATGCGATGCCATACACAAGCCTCCCAGCTGCATTTTTCATTCCATCTTACTATATTCCACCTTAAAAGAGGAATAGTAGAAAGTAAAGGCAGCACAGCTGTGCAGGGGTTAGCATTGCTGCCTTGTATTGCTAGGGACCTGGGTTCAATTCTTGGGTGCTAACCTGTGTTGAGTTTGTATGTCCACATACGTTACCTCCGGGTGCTCCGGTTTCCTCCCACAGTCCAAAAATATACTGGTGGGTTTAATTGGCTTCTGGGAAAACTGGCCCTGGTGTGAATGTGTGTGTGAGATTGCACCTGTGTGGCTGCCCTGTGATGAGCTGGTGTCCTGTCCAGGGTGTACCCAGCCTTGCACCCACTGCTTACTGGAACAGGCTCCAGCTCTCCTGCGACTCCAAGCTTGTAGACGTATATAGAAAATGGAAGGATGGTATAAACCTATTAAGGATTCTGCACATTTTTCAAAGAAAATTGCTAAAAAGGCAAAACTTTTAATAGATACCCCTTTAGTTTAACTTAAACATGTTTCATCTAAGATTAGTAATACTTAAGCACTGTTATTAAAATACTGAAAATGATCTCAGCTCTGTCCTAGAATTTCCAGCAAATTATACATCATAATAATGAATGGCATTACGTATTTTGGAAATTATCTATGAATAATGAAGAATAAATTGCACTCGAGTCCTTGGGCAGAATCAAGATCTTCAAAATTGCCAATTTTGCATTTAAGTGGTGGAAAGATAGAATTTCACACTACGGGATTTATATTTTGACCAGCACTCAAGTTGTAAGTTTAAAACAAGGCGCTGTCATCAGCAGTCAGGTGACAGAGGCATCTTGAACATATTGCTACCTGCCACAGTGTCCTCACAGAACTTTAGAAAGGAAATCTTTATCTGTAAAAGTTATAAATGGTGCCCTTAGTTCAAGTCCTGGTCTACATAATAAGCAGACTATATATGGAGTATATCTTGCTTTGGAGATAAAAGCATGGTTTTGTATTTAACTGTGGTCTTTACAAAATTAGGTCATACTTGACTTCAAATGCATGTCAAAACTTCAAAATATTGAAGGAACCCAGCTCACGTGAAAGTTTCAAAATTCCCGATTTCATCTGGAACGAACCTTTCCAATTTCTTCTGAAATCACAAAATTTACAGGAATTATTTTTCTTCTGATATGCATCTAATACAGTGTTTGCTGCAATGTTCAGACAAGCAGCTGCTGGCTTCCCCACTAACAATTATATCTAGTTTGTGGGAAAATGTGGCTTGGAAACATGCACTAGACTAATTCTTTAAGTATTTTAGATGTCATACAATATACAGTAATGAAGATGTTTATAACTATCTGCAGTACTTTACCCTTATATGTATGACATAGAATATCAAGTTCAACAAAGTGCATACACATGCAAGATAGAGTAATTCAGTGAAAAAAAAATACAGCAGTACTGATCTCTGCAAGACAAAGCTGTCCACCCTCACTGAGTTGGACTAGTGGGCTCTTTAACAACTTCTCCCAGCTCTTCGTGTGCTGCTGTTACTGCTTCGGATTGGTCTAATTAACCCAGAAGCTTATTTAGCTTGTTTGGCCAATTTAGAATAAAACCACTAGCACACTGGTCCTCCATGCCAGTTTTATGCAAACCAATCACAGACAACCTTTCTAAAAATAAAAAAAATAGAGGTGGAGGTAGCTATTTTATTTTTTTGTGTAAAATCTCTCAGTAAAATGTCCCCTCTTCACAGCTGCGATTCACACCAATGAATGTATTATTCCAAATTGTGCTCTGTCACTAATCTCTTGTGTAAGAGCAGGATTTTAGTTTACCCTTGAATGTTGCACTCTTAGTTAAAACTGTGATCAAAACCCCTACATGGCCTGAGGCAACTTAAAATGTGTTTTGATGGCAATGTGTGTTAAATGTTTGCTAATCAGCCTGCTCTTTTGCAAGTGTGGATATGGATATTCCTACCAACTTCAAACAGCCCTTTCAAATTTAAAGCTGCTGAAATGGAGAAAATACCCCCATCTTAAGAGTCCTTGAGCAACAGCACTCAATTGCTTACCGAGAAATATAAAAGCTTTGTAGACAAGATTTTTTATAACAAGATTAGGAAGGTAAAACCCTTATAAACCCTTATAAAATTCCAGGCATAGCCACTTTGTTAGGTGGCTGTAGGGACCGATTAGAGCTTGCAGTGTAACATTTTCAGTGTCCATTCAGCTTAAGGAAGCTCAATGTCAATTGTATAATCCTATACCTTTTGTATATATAAAAAAAAACTTTGTGGAATTAAAATGTTGGATCTTCGTTTCATGCGCTATGCACGTACACTAACGGAAGACTGCTCTTTTGTTTGTCTAGGTAAATCTTCGCTCCCCAGTGAACAATGAAACCTATCAAGAGCGTCTGACTCGTTTAGAAGGTGATAAGGAATCACTGGTTCTCCAGGTACATTTCCCAATACACAATGTGACCTCCCACACTAAAAAAAAAAATAAATAAAATAAATGTGTGAGGTTTGAAAATAGGTTACAAATTTTGTTCTTGTATTTTGGTTCACCTTTCGTTTTTCACAGATATTGGATAATATTTTGTATGTTCAAATGACAGAGTCCTGTCAGATGTAAACAACAACCTAATATAATACAGTATGCGAGATGTCTAAAGTAGATGAGATGGGTGTTGGATCCAATGTTTTACATACCGCATTGCACCTTCATTCAAGTACAGCAGCTGTAATTATCCTAGTTAAGATAAACTGCAATGTGTTTTTTTAGAGATGTCCAATATCAATGCTTTGTTGTTCATAATATTTCTGGGGCGTAGGTAAGGTTATAGTTCCTGTAAACGGGATGATTCACATATTTTGATCCATAATATATGTTCTTAGTCTTAACTTGTACTGGGGAAAAACAGAGTTGTCCTCACTCATGTTGCGGCTTGTTGAATTTGGAAGATCTCCAGAGTAATGCTAGCAGCCTGGTGCCAATACGTGGCTTTAATATACAGCCAAACATTCTTTCACCACTTCTGAAAAGCACAGATGATAGGTGAAACTTTCCCCTGTGTTAAGTTACGGGGAAGGTGATTGGCTGGAGCTTTTTCAAAGGTGCTTTGCTTTCCCTCTTACCTGCCTTTTCATAGGTCAAAGACTAGAGGAACTTGAAACTTAAAAGGGAAAGGAACTATTCGTCATGGCTTAGTATGCTAATTTAATAAAACATTTAAAATAAAATGTGAATAAGTATGCACCTTTTTCTTAACGGTATTTAAAAAAACAATTTATGTATAACTATTAAAACAGAAAGTTAGATCAGTAAAACAAAAACTGCTGAGAAAGCAGACAAAGATCCAGCCTCAGCTGGTTGAATTAGCATATTTTGCAAGGCTGGGAGGTCAACAGAGGCTTCTGTGGGTGGGTTACAGGGAGGTTGAGACAAGCTCAAGTGATTGAGTGCAGCATGTTTGGCCTGGCAGGTTAGTGTGCTCACAGACCAGGTGGAGGCTCAAGGAGAGAAGATACGAGACCTGGAGACTTCACTAGATGAACACCACCAAAAGCTTAACTCCACTGAAGAAATGCTGCAACAGGTAGGGGCTCAATCTTCCTAAACACTTCGAGGGAATGCTGAACAACTGAATAACCTTTAAGTAGAATAATTACTCGTATGAAAAGGTCTGTTTGTACTATTTCTAAAGTTTGCTCTTTTTTATAGTTCATGTGGAAGTGTAAAATACAAACTGAAAATGTTAGAATGTGTGAAAATGACATTGTACATCTCAGTGGCTTTTATACTATACAGTATGTGCAAAGAAATGAATGAACCAGCCTTTTGCTTGTATGCTTTGTTTACTTTGGTTGGTTTGTTCTCTTTCCAAAGGTGCTCAGTGCTTAAACAGGGTGTGGTTTTATTCAGAGTACTAGTTATCCTTTTACAGAGGATTTCAGCTTTACAATGCATTTGCCAGAAATACACATGTACCGTAGAGAAACAGGAGTTCAACTATTGAATATTAATGAAAGCTTTTCACAAACATGTGAGTTTTATTTGAATCATGGGTGTTGAGAAATCTGCCTGTAAGTCTCTTTGTAGAGACTGTAAAATAGTTTATCCCCAGTTCATTCTTTAGATAGATAGATACTTTATTGATCCCGTGAGGGAAATTGCAGTGCTACATCAGCTTTACACAGACAACAAAGCCACAGTGTAACAAATGATACAATAATAATAAAAATAATACAATACATACAATCCAATCAGTGCAGTGAGGGGAGCACTAAAAGAGTTACTCACAGTCCGGACACACAAAGAACAAACTAGAACAGAACAGTACGCAGAAAAATCGTATCACACATATGAATATAAATTTAGATGTAAATATAGAGATAGATATAAATATAAATGTATTGCACAGGTCCCTGGCATATATTGCACAAAAAATGGTTGTAAACGGGAAAAGAAAAGAAAGAGAACAGATGTAGCAGTAGATGTGTAGATGCGTTCAGTCCAGAAACAGGTCACTGTCAATGTTGCCTCTGCCCAGATGCAAGGTGGATGCGTTGTACAGTCTTATGGCAGAAGGCAAGAATGACCTCCTGTAGCGTTCCCTGTCGCACCATGGATGAATCAGTCTATTGCAGAATATGCTCTTCATTTCTAAAAGCCTGTCATAGAGAGGATGGGAGATGTTGTCCATGATGGGCTCTAGTTTGGACACCATTCTCCTCTCAGCCACTACCTCCAAGGGGTCCAGGTCAGACCCAATGACAGAGCTTGCTCTCCTGATGAGCTTGTTCTTGTTCGTGTTTCTTTTGTGTACTCTATCAGACATCATGTGGATTTCAGATGTTTGCATACCATATTCAAATAACCTGAACGGTGTTTGAGTCCGTTATGTAAAGAGGTTTCCATTCCTAGTTTTGCATATTGTGGATTGCTGCAAGGGCAGTAAAGCGGTACAGTGGCTAGCATTGCTGCCTTACAGTGCTGGGGCCCCGGGTTCAATTCCGAACCTGTGGTGGTATGTGTGTGGAGTTTGTATGTTCTCCCTTTGTTATGGTGGGGTTCTTCCAGGGGCTCCGGTTTCTTCTGCTGGTAGATTAATTGGCTTTTGGGAACATTTTGGGAACAAGCATGAGTGTGTCCGTGTTTATGTCTATCTGCCCAGCCCTGCTTGTACCCTGCCTGTTGATTACGAGGGTAGGCTCTGGCTACCCACGATCCTGAACTTGGAGAAGTGGTTAGAAAATGGAAGGATGGGTTGCAGCATGGATATGAATTCACAAAAACTTAGAAAGTTAAAAAGATACAATAGCTCAGGAAACGGAATTCAGCAGTTAAATTATATTCTAGTTGTTGAAAGTAAGGTAGAAGCTTAAGGGAAATTCAGGAAAAACGGTTTTGCTTCAGTATGGACATAAAGGAGGTGAAGCTTTTCTATTGGCAAAGAGGTCCAGAGTAATGATGCCACACATTTCAAGGCAAATATCTACTCTTGATCCTTTAGAGGACCTACAGTAACTGTTCCCTGTAGCTCTAATCGTATACAGAAGATCAACATGTTGCTTGAAGTTGCGGTCTGATCAGTATTTTTCTGGTGTGTAGCCTTCTAATGCCACATCTGAGGAGCCAATAAATTGATTGAATTCTTCAAGCTATTCCCTACAGTACATTATGCAATGTGCCATTATGCACAGTATTGCCTCCATTTTAATAAACATAATTTAAAAGACCTCTGTTAGTGGGAATTAATGTGTTTTTGGGCTTTATCAGAAATTAATGTGACCAAGTCATACAACATTATCAAATATTTACTTTAATATTAAATGCAGCAGCTCACCTCAGGAATTTGTTTCATGTTCATGTGAAATGCTGTGGTCATTCTGCAAGGTCCCTTAAGAATTAAGTTTGTGAAGCAAACAAAGCACATGAAATGAATCTGGACTGGTCTGTCTGACAATTCCGGTTAAGTCCACAACAAAGCAGAATGTTTCCATGTTAGGAGATAAAAGAGGTTTCCATTTAAAGTGATATTTACCTTATGTCTCCTCATATAAACCTAAAAGAGTGTTTACATGCAAACAAATCATGCTTGGGCAACATTCCTCTTCCTGCATTCTTTCATTAATTTTCCATTCTCAGAAGCTTATCAGATCTTATTTTTTTCCTCTGCTTAAATGTCTGCAATTTAGGCCATTCCTATGGAGATTCTGGTTTTAGCACTAACGAATATGGTTTTACTCAATCAGTTCATTTACTGGCTGCCAAGTAGGTCTGCATTAGAGATGCAAACTCAGATTAAGTAGTGAAAGAGAGGCTAATGAAATTGCCTAACTTCTTATTGGGTACAGTTGTCTTATGTTTGTAGGGCCACATTCTGTTTGAGCTCCATTCTTTGCAGCAACAATACGTCTAAAGTTAAAGATAAAGCACTTCCTTTCCAAATTTGAAAATACTTTTTTTTTAAATTAAGGAACAAAAATGTTTTGTATTTGAAAGCATTTACGGGCAGGTCAAGCAACAGTCTTTTGTAAACTTCACATTTCTGAAATGTGGATTCTTAAACTTTCTCAATGTCTGAGGTATTTATTGAATTTCCTGTGCTCTACAGTTAGGTAGAGTTTGTTTTATCTTTTTTTGTTGTTGAAATTCTGAATTCCAGAAGTTAAGTCTTAAAGCATCTTCTAAATTTGAGATTGGTTACAAAGAAATCTACAAATTCATTTCCACTGTTCAAACACAATATACATGAAGCACAGTACAATCACAGACATTCATTATATATCTCCATTTCCCTACAAGATGTATTTTTTAAGAAGTACCAAAAAAGTCATCCTTTTTCAAAATGTTTTCTTTTTTTCCCAAAAATATTTTCAATTTCAGCTTTTGAACTTTTTCCATTGAATGTAGTCAGGCATAAAACTATTTATGTCACTTCCTTTAGGCTTCTTCTTTGGTTTCAGGATTAATTAGGATCCTGTTGTTCTGAATTCTTGCTAAAAATATATCTTAGAAGATTCTTATACTGCGATAAACTACAAAATGTAAGCAAATTTAATGGAAATATTTCCAGTTGTTTTGATTAGGAAATCATTGTAATGATAGTTTCATTAGATTTATATCCAAGGGATCACAATTACATTTTTGCCTATATAACCACAGTCCAGCATTTGATTAAAGGCACCATTAAGATTCTGCCTACCATGCCCAACTGGACAGGTAAATAAATACCAGTCTTTGTGAAAGTTTCCATTCCAAAAGCACAGGAGCGCACAACCAACGTTCCATTTGTTTCTCTACCCTTTAAACAAAACAAGCCTGAAAGCTTTAATTCTTTGTCAGCGACAGTTCCAAGCAATGAGAATTAGGGTACAGGTTTCTACAATAGTTGAGTAAAAGGATTACCATTATTTTCCATAGACTGGAAAACACAGTAGGATTTATCTTCCAGACTCAATCCACAGAGACAATTTAAGTAAAATTTAAGATTGAAAAGGCCAGTCATTAATTAATTAAAAGAACTATTGCTAGTATATAAAATGATTAACAGGATCAGTATAGCTGTGGTCTAAGAAACAGCTAGGATTTGCAGAAGTGCCATACAGCCAAGTTTCAGATCCCCTTTAGTCATTGTTAGTCACTAATGGCACATTGGACATTTTCATTTTATAAGAGATGATTATAAAGGTTACAGGCATGGAGATCTTTCAGGCTTTTCCTCTCAGTTTTGTAAATTGATTTTTTTGGCTTTTAGTTTGTGTAGTTCCCAGCCCTTGAGGTTGAAAGGATTTGGCTGAGGACAAGTTCCTGAAGGTGTGAAAAAGTGTGGGTTGTTTGTATTAAAAACAAGTGCTGATCTATTGGGGAAAAGATGAAGAAAAAGCACATGTGATTAGACCTTGTCCAAGCATAGAAGAAAAAAGAAACGTTGCCTAAAATACAGGAGAAAACAATAGCTCTTCTTGTAGGAGCTTCTGCTTTCTTGATGGAAAATAAAAGGTCACATGCTCATGTACAATAGTGGAAAGTGGTTAGTAGATAACTTAGCAATTAGTCCTAATCTACTTTTAGTACCAGTATCGGTTGAATCAATTATTTTACAAGCACCTAAATTATTTTAACTTTGTGGATAGAGTACAATGTACACAATATTTTAATTTTTTTAAATAGTTAAGATTATGAAGCAAAAGGAACATGGTACTTCTGCTATAACTGAATCTTTCTCACAATTTGTTTTAGCTCAGAAAGGTTGTGTGCCTCAGAAGGAAGTGTGCAAATGCACTCTAGCTTGGTTGTTTGCATGTCAGACAGCGACAGTGAAAATATAAATAGAGTCCATAGCAGTTTATATTTAGAAGTTGTGGATCCTAGATGAAAGGTTTGTTTGATAGACTTTGTACTCTGCGGAGGAAGACATTGAAATGTTTTGTCTCACGTGGTAGGAGTTGCTGAGCAGAACGTCCCTGGAAACTCAGAAATTGGATCTTATGGATGAAGTTTCATATCTGAAACTGAAACTAGTTGGAATGGAGAAGGAACAGAATGGCTGTGAGGACAAACAGCACAAAGCTGAGGTATGTTGTACAGTGAATTCCCTTCGAGAAAAGGATTCATGAGAACGAAACTATAATCTCAGTGGCTAGACTGTAAGACAAACAAAACCGTGAAGGGGCTCAGAATTTCAAAGAAAGACAATGAAAAGGTGTTTTACATTTCATTTATGAAAGTTTTTAAATTTGCAGTTTTTCCACAAACGTCCAAAATCCTGTTAAACAAGTTGCGGCGTTGTGATCCCTTACACTCTATCATAGATTCCTTTTGTAAGTTAAAACCAGTTTGGAATGACAGGAGTGTTCACAAAAATAACATTCCGTTGGTAGCAGGTGACATTTAGGCAGCTGGGAATTCTGACCCCGTTACCAGACGGTTTTTCATTTTCTTGGAATTATGCTTCTGTTTGTGTGAACATTAAATGCATATACCACACCCAAAGCAAACATTTAGTTTGCACAGATGTTGATTTTCAGTTGAAGCTCAAGACTTAATACTAGTTCAGAACATTTACTTGTACACCAAGTAAACATTTAAAAAGAAAAATCTAAATTGAACACTGGCTTTGTTGCCAAGTATGAAAAGTTCAAATGAATTAAAAAAAATGTAATGGACCTATGTAAGCTTCCTATGTCATTAAATATTTAATCTTCACATTAACAAAAGGTTTTAGTCCCAGTTCATTTTTATGAGCCATTTAGTAATTAGGCTGGGTGTGTTACAGGTATATGTCAACCTTTAAAAGGTGCTGTTTCTTAAATTACAGCCACCTCTCAATACAGGGGCCTTTGATGTCCTGCAAATCACAGTCAGATCAATTACTAACTGCCAAGGGTCAGTTAGCTACCATAAAACACATTCTCAAAGGGGTCCAAAAGCTTGACTTTGCTGGCTCTAACCAGACTGCTGCTCATGGTACACATGGCCACACACAGGAATTCTTCCTGACTCATCACTTGTCAGACAGGATCTCTTCTGTCTGCAAGTCAATATCCTGACATTAATCACGTCCCATTCATACACTGCGTGACAAAGCGTAGGCTGTAATCTAGCCAATCATTCTTAACGTGAAGGTCTGCAGAAATCACAGGGCAGGTCCAAATCATGACCCTTTTAGGTCATAATCTAAACACGAGCACTTTTAAAAGCGTTTTAAATAGGGGACAGTAGTGGTATGGAGGTCAACTGCCTCTCAGCTCTACAGTCTATTCTGTGACTTTACATGGATTTTCTCTGGGTGCTTCAGTTTCCTTCCACATGCTAAGCTTGGTTGGTATGTAGTTCAGTTGTCTAGCTACTTCATAAGGAACAGAAGTAGGTCTCTTCATCCCATTCTAGAGTAGATCTACAGCAAGGCAAAGTGGTTAATTAAAACAATTTCCATTAATTTCAAGTGCTTTATATTGTGATGGCTCATGTATTGTCCATTTAATTCTTATTTTACAAGGCTAATGCATTACTGGTTCGACTTTCGGCTGCTTGAAAAGGCACTCGTATAATTATTTGGAAATTTACATTGCTTCTTTACACCTGGGCAGTAGGAGGGGAAGCATTTGGATTGCCTCACTTATGAGCATAGAAAGCAGTCACTTGAAGCTTTTTGTGTTTACTGAAAGGAGTATGGATTCACAGCAGAGAAATGAATCACTTTCCAGGAGCTGAATGGTTATCTGCCTGTCTTGCAGATTAACTCAAACCACACCATACAGTTTGGCTTGCTTTAGTAATATTAATTGTTAAAGAATGATTTAATCAAAGGATGGCAGACCAAGATCCTAAAAGACCCATCGTCCAGCAGGCTTTGAAAGTCACTTTACTTTAATTTCTAAACATTTAGGACTATTTCATTTAGGCAAATGAATCAGCCGGGTCAACTGTAATGTAATGTAATGTTTCTTTATTAGCCCTATACAATTTCTTGCATTAGGAATTCGTCTTTTCGCATACTCCAGCTTTTCTCCATGGTGACACAGACACACAGGCAGGGAGAGAAGCTTGGGGTCAGAGCGCAGGGTCAGACATTGTATGGCGCCCCTGGAGCATTTAGGGTTAAGGGCCTTGCTCAGGGGCCCAACGGAGTAGG